TACATTCAGATCTATTCCAGAGAAACTGCTGTGCGGCCACACCTCAATCACCTTCAACTTGTGAAGTTGATTTTTTTGGACTGGATAGGAGTTTACATTTATAGTAATAACAACACAGTGCTTTAAGATTTTCAGGAAATAAAGTTACTTGCCCCACAACTAGTATCAGATTAAAACCTCTCCAATAATTCACATGTATATAATACTTTAAGGTTTGTAAAGGGCTTTCCTCACAACTTGTCTGAAGGATCTGTGATTTCATTGGTGTGTGCAAGCCCTCCACTGACACTGATTTCAACCCCTCTATGACTTCTTAGATGTTTTTTGAGAAATGCTTCAGCCAAAAATCGATCACTCTACAGCTATCTGCCTGAGTTACTTCTCCAAACTTAGCAAGGTTGGTTGAGTCAAGTCAAGAAAAATGTATTAATTACCTATTATGTGCCAGGCACTGGGCTTTGCATTAGGGATACAAAAAAAAAAAGACAGAAATATACCCTTTCCTCAAGGAGCTCACAATCTAATGGGGGAGACAAAATGTAAACAACTATGCACAAACAAATTTTATATATATATATATATATATATACACACACACATATATGTGTGTGTACATATGTACCCACATATGTATATATACAAACATTTATTAAGGATGGTTGGTATGCAAAAAGAAGCAAAAGACAGTCCCTGTCCTCGAAGAGCTTACAATCGAATGGGAGACAACATGCAAGCAAATACATATAGTATAAATATATGCAAAGCAAGCTATATACAGAATAAATAGGAAATAATTTAGAGGGAAGGCACTAGAATTGAGAGGAGCTGGGGAAGGCTTCCTGTAAAAGGTGAAATTTTGGTTGGGACTTAAAAGGAAGCAAGGAAGGTCAGAGGGACAGAGTTCCAGACACGGGGGACAGTCAGAGAAAGTGCCTAGAGCTGAGAGATGGAGCACTTTGTGGGACAGCGAGGAAGCCAGGGTCGCTGGATCGGAGTATGTTTTTGAGGGTAAAGTAAAAGAAGACTGGAAATGTTGAGGGGAGGTAGGTTATAAAGGACTTCAAATGCCAAATACCACTAGCAAGCTATTACAATAGTCCATTTGAGAGGTGATGAGGGCCTTGACTAGATGGGAGACAGCGTCAGAGGAAAGAAGGGGGCTTACTGGAGAAATGCTGCAAAGCTGAAATGGACAAGCCTCGGATATGGCTGGTGAGAGAGAGAGTGAGGAATTAAGGATGGCATTTACATTGTGAGGCTGAGGGATGGAAGGATGGTATTGTCCTCTACACTATGTTAACGTACTGTATGTTAGAACTTCCCTTCTTCACAGGGGAGCAGGGTGATAGAGTTACACAACAACCATTCAGTTAGAAGGATTTCTGAGGTGAAGTGCTACTTGACATACCAGTGATCCTTTGTGAGCGAACTCTAGCCCAATCTGGAGATGCTTGTAGCTGCCAGAAACCACAGAACCAGCCTTGATCAGCTCAAGGGCAACCTCCAGCAGAAGCTGCAGACTTAAGACCTTACTTGGGAGTTTCTAAACATGCTGCTCCCTGGCTTATTGTGTCTACAGATGTCTTCTCCCTTAACCCCTGCTCCCTGCACAAGAGCATTTAGAAACTATAATATCTCATCCTTTTCCCATTCCCCTTTGAGAAGTTGAAGAACTCTCTTTCTCTCTCTCTCTCCCTCTCAAGCCTTTTTCTCGGATAATAAATGCTTTTAATTGGTGTATGGGTTCTGTTTCGTTTCCAGTTCCTTTATGGCCCTGGGGGTCATTTGTTAACAAGTAATAGAGAAGCTGTGTGTGTGGGGGGGGTAGTTTTAGGGGGAAAAGCCACAAGTTCAGTTTTGGACATAGAGAGTTTAAGATGTCTCAAAGGTAGTTGGAAATCCAAGGCTGGAAGTCAGTAAAGAGTTTGGGGCAGGATAAGTAGATCTAAGAATTATCAGCATAGAGATGGTAATTAAAGCCTTGGGAATTGATGAGATCACCGAGTGAAGTAGTACAGAGGAAGAAGAAAAGGCACAGGACACAACCCTGATGGACATCCATGGTTAGAAGGCATGATGTGGAAGACCATCCAGCAAAAGAGACAGAGGAGACATCAGATAGGTAGGAAGAACCGGGAGAGTGCTGTTCTGAAAACCTAGAAAGAAGGGAGTGTCAAGGAGAAGAGAATGATCAAAAATATCAAAGGCTGCAGAGAGGTAGAGGGAATGAATATTGAAAAAATGACATTGGATTTGTTGCTTTTTAGGGAGGTGGTGATTAGGATAAATTGGCAATAATCTTAGAGGGAAGGCATTAGCACTAGGGGGAACCAGGAAGACCTTCTTGTAGATGGTGTGATTTTAGCTGAGAGTTGAAGAAAGCCAGGAATCTAGTCAAATGCCTCTTAGAAAGCTGCTTTGTCCTTTTGACTAAATAATGAATTTTGCAGTGACTCATTTAACATTTAATCCATGTTATACTCAGACAACAAAGGTTTTTCAAGTGACTACTATGTGCCACTGCCCTGGAGGTTGTTTAGCTTTATTTTTATGAGAAAAAGCAGATGACTAAATAATTACTTGACATCTGGGATTTCCTTTGTGGAAAGAATTCCAGACATTGGGGATAGTCAGTGAAAATTAAACAAGATGGGAGACACGGTCTGAACTCAGATGACAACTACACACGTTGTCCTGTCAGAGTTAACACTTCACTGGCACAGCCTTTGAGAACCCAGGATTATCTCCACACCATGAAGACTTTGGTGTAATTTCTTCATAAGGACCCTATTAAATTTCATCACGTTAGATTTGGTCCATTGTTCTAACACGTCAAGATCTTTTTAGACCCTAATTCTGTCATCCATTATGTTAACTATTCAAGCTCTATGATCTACAAATTTGACAATATGCTTTCTATGCAGTCTTCTTAATGTAAAGGGGAAGCTAGGTAGTGTAGTGTCAAGAAGAGATAAGCTGAAATCCACTCACCCACTTAAAAGCTGTATGACCCTAGCAAGTCATTTAACCTGCCTGCCCGAGTTTCCCCATCACTAAAATGGGATGATAACAGCACCTACGTTGTAGGGTAATTGTAAAGCACTTGGCACATAGTAAGTACTACATAAATTTTAGCTATTACTTTTACCATCATTTAAATCAGAAGAACAAAATTGCAGATAAATAGGATAGCTCACAGGCTTTCCTTGGAGAGGCAAATAGAGAAATAGGGCTTATCATACACCTAAAGACAAGAAGAATTTGGTGGGAAGGGTAACAAGCACTTATTAACCATCTGCTAGGTGGCAGGCACTGCACCAAGGGCTTTACAAATCCCTGTTTTACGAATGTCTTCTATTGCAGCGCTCAAGATTAAGTATTTGCAAATAATCCGCCATGACCATAACACCAAGGTTTGCTGTAACAAGTTGCAGATGACTGGAGCACTGGGGGGGGAGGGGGGGTCTCGGCAGGAGGGGAAAGGAAAGGGGGAGAGGAGGGAAAGGGGAAGAGAGAATGGGGGAAGGGAAGGAGGAAGAGTGGGAGAAAAGAGGGAGGGGGAAGAGGGGAGGATGAGACTATATTTGTGTACGTCTGTTTATATTCGTCAGAGTTTGTTCCAAAGCGGGCTTTTCTAAGCCCCAGCATCCCATCAGGCCGTGGGCCGCTGGGCACCCGAGCTGCTGCGCGACGCTGGAGCACGTTCGCCTCGCAGGATCCAGCGTTCGCGGAAGCTCGAGGCCGTCTCTTCCGGCACCCTGGTTTCCGACCGGTCCCTTTAGGCGGCAGGACGCGGCAGCAGCGGCCTTTCGCGGGAGCCGGGACCGGTGCTTTTCCCCGGTGGCACCAGCGGCGGAGGGGGCAGGCGGAAGAAGCCTCTGAGATCCGGAGTCCGGAGGAGAGCGAGGCTGGAGGGGCGGTTCCCGTGAGGCTGTGCGGCTGCTGACCATGGAGCCGGGCCAGCAGCGGCTCTCGCAGGCGGTGCGTGGTCGCTGCAGCGTCGGGGGCGGGGCCGGGGGTGTGTGAGCAGGGGGAATCTGGGCGCGAGCTGCGGGAGGAGAGGCGGGGGCGGCCGCGTGGACCATCCAGGGCCTGGTCGCTTGTGAGGCCCGGCCCTGACCTTTTGTGTTCCAAACAGTCGAGGGCTTACAGAAGCGTGAATTTGAGGCTAGACCCGGGCCGTCGGGGTGGGAGGAGGGCAACTGAAGCCCCTCCCTCATCCATCACCTCCCTCTCCCCTTCCTGACACAGCCCTACAGAGGCTGGCGCTCTCAGCTGTAGCGAGACCCTCGAGATCCCACCTGCCCTCGGGGAGCTTCCCGACTCGGGGGTGGGGGAGGGGGAGTGTCGGAGTGGTGTAAACAGAAGCCGGTACGCGCTCGGGAGGCAGTGACGTCATGGATGGAAGTTGTGCCTGTTTGTATGTGGCCCGCGCTGGAAATACTGAGACCTCAAACGAAAACCCAGACGGCAACCAATACGGGGGCTCTTCCTCATGGGCACAATCCGTAACCATGTAGGGACATACAAGGACACCAGAGAGAAAGGGAAGGCGTTAGCAGGGGGTCACCGAGAAGTGTAAGGGAAAGGGCAGAGCGTCCCAGACACGGAGGAGGCAGGTTGTATTGCAGAACCTGCGAGTGGGCCAGCGTGGCTGCATCCTTGACTGGCAGAATAGGGCTACCCACCTCATAGGGTTGTTGTGAAGAAAGTGCTTTATAAACCTCAAGGTGCTCTAGAAATAGGGGCTATTATTAAAAACCTAAGAAATTGTTTAAATAAGATCAGATCCTATTATGTAGACCTCCAGGAGTTAGCACTGTGAAAAAGGGTTGATTTTTATTCCTCAGTTCCTTTGTAACTTTTCATTTTTATACTGCGTTTTCCTTGAAATATTAAAAAAAATCTTTGTATATTTCTTTACCCTCAGTTTTTTTAAAATGGTGGGTAAAGAATTAACAAGCACTTTATTCTTGACCATATTGGATAATATGGAAGTTATAGTATAGGATGATAACTATTTCACT